CAGAGAACGGCCATTACGGTCATTGCAATTACCCACTCTAACTGAGCCATTATCTGCAGTGTTAGTCTGAGGCCAACAGCATCTGTCTGAGAAACTCTGACCCCTGAGGACCAGAGGCTCTCATGTTCAAGACAGAGGTGACCTTTTCAGAGCCCCTCAAACCAGTACATGCTGAGTCACCCTGAGCCTATATTTCTTGACCACCCTCACCACAGTGACCCTGTACCTAATCAGATGTGGGTTATAAGTGCCGGTTTGCTACTTGACGGTTGTATAACCTTGGGTCATTATTTTATTTTCCTGAGTCTCAGTGTTCAGTGTGCAGGATGGGTGGGATAACTTTCTCCCTCACAAGTCTGTTAGGAATGAGAGGTGGCTGTAAATTCCTAAGTATGTTAGATGGAGTGTAGAGAGATGTACTGAAAGTACGGTTTCAGTTAAACAGGAGAAACACACGTCAGACACCTAACCTCAGCGTGATGGCCGCAGCTAACAACCCGCCCCACAGATTCCTACTCTGAGAGGCTTTTTCAGAGAGAACTGTTTTTCCTCAGACTAAGAACAGCACAGTAACGAGATGCTCTGTCAAGTATAACTGTACAGCAACCACAGAGAGCCAGGTTCCCCTGTACAGAGAAGTATCTGCATGTGGATATGGAGAGGGAGGCTGAGGAGGAGGCTTTGAGGCTGCTTGAGAGAGTAAAAATGCTTCATTAGTGTTTCCTGAGATCCCCAGGGAAGCTTCTGTAAAGGGCAAAGGTGAGGGTGCCATTTAACATGTCGGATGAATGCTCTCCCCCAAGGGAGAAAGGACAGTTTTATGAGCCCAGTTACAAACTCGGTTCTCAGTGGAGTTCAAAGGGAAGACAGTTCAGGGTTTGGAATTTATTACTTTCTTCTGGTGAGAAGCAGCTTTGGCTGTAACTCCTGGTCCTAATGTTGGCCAGCATGGAGGGGTGGGGAACTCCAGGGGACTTTGGACATTTTGTCCAACTGGGACAGAGCTGCTTCCAGAGCTCCGAGAGAAGACACTTATAGCTTTGGATGCGGATTGTACGGTTTTTCTTTTTTTTTTTTTAAAAAAAGATTTATTTATTTTTTATTTATATGAGTACAGTGTTGCTCTCTTCAGACACACACTAGAAGAGGGCATTGGATCCCATGACAGATGGTCGTGAGCCACCATGTGGTTGCTGGGATTTGAACTCAGGACCTCTGGCAGAGCAGTCAGTGCTCTTAACTGCTGAGCCATCTCTCCAGCCCTGTTGGTACCTTATTTTATTTTTTTTAACTAAGCTAATTCCATGTAACAACCGCAGGGTCTATGGGGGGATGTGTCTTTCATGCCTAATGCTTACTAGAAATTTCCATGCCAGTTTCAATGCTGAGGCTCTCTCTCTAAAGGGATTATCCTTGTTTAGAGTTTGGCCCGGGACCTGAGCCTAGACGGCTCTTTGTGGCCACGGAGGAGAATGGAGCAGACACATGGTCTGAAGGGCAAACCTCAGGCTTGGAAGTCTTGTATGAAGCCTTGTATGAGGGTGAGCCGGGCCCATCAAAACTCCTCTCTCCAATACAGATGTGTGGCAGAGGAGTTGGGTTGCCTGGGATATGTGGAACTTGGCTGGCTAACCGAACAGCACAACTCCTCTTGCAGGCTTTTGCTGAGGTGGCTCTGCTGTTCATTCCAGAAGCGCTCTCATTCAAATATTCATTTTGTAGACACTAGAAGGATGGCTCCCAATATAATTAAACACCTCTTTTGTGGGGCCACTTTGAGTCCATTTATGTTTCCCATAATAAAAATGGGCTACATTAGAAGAGTACCTGCTGAGTGGGGTACGGCCTCATACCAAGGGACCTCACTGGTGGGGAGGCTGAGACAGGAGGATCGTGAATGTGAAGCTAACCTGGGTAATACAAGACCCGTGTCTCACATTCCCTTCTCCAGCGTGTGTGTGTGTATGTATGTGTGTGTATGTGTGTGTGTATGTATGTATGTGTGTGTGTATGTATGTGTGTGTATGTGTGTATGTGTGTGTGTGTATGTGTGTATGTGTGTGTGTGTGTGTGTGTCTCAGTGGTAGAGCATACAATGATTTGCCACCTCCATTACATAACTTTCCTTGGGCAGAGCGCGTACATGGAGCCGTGGCCGTACAGTCTGGACATTTCCAGTATAACATATGGATATATGGATCTACTAGCTCATTTACACAGTGCGGCAGACAGTAAGACTTGCTCTTCTCTACCACAGAAATTGGGAACTAAAGTTCTCTCTCTCTCTCTCTCTCTCCCCTTCCCTCCCCTCCTCCCTCCCTCCCTCCTCCTCCTCTTCCTCCTTACACTCCTCCTCTTTGTTGTAGTCCTTGCCATCCTCCTCCTCCTCCCTCTCTCCCTCTCTCCCCCTCCCCCTCTCCCCCCTCCCCCTCTCCCTCCCCTTTCCCCTCCCCCTCTCCCAACCTCCTTTGCAGCTAGAAGAGTGACAGGACTTTAACCAATGAGATTTAAGTGAGCACAAGGAACGGAGCCTGTTCCTACCCGTTTCAATGGAAACTTTACATTTGTGGGAGGGACCCACAAGGCCCCGCCCCTAGCAGAGACTGGTAGCTGCAGGCTGCTGGGAAAGGAAGGTTGTTTTGCTTTAGGGGTGTGGTCTTCAGTGTGCTGTTCATCCTAATGGGTGACCCGACACCCATGTAGATGTGGGCAGTACTAACAGACTCAGTGGGTTATGTTTAAAAATGGAAAGAAAGGAGAAAAGAGGGCAATGCAGTAAAGAAGGGGCCATATTGTGGGAAGGACGCCTGGAGGCAGGGATGGAGGGCATCTGATCAAACTGTATTGTGTACACATATGAAATTCTTAGAGAATAAATTAAAAAAAAACAGAACAAAGACTAAACTCACACGATATAGAACAACAGCAAAAAAAAAAATAAATAAATAAAACAAAGAAAACTTAGTGCTTGGAGCTGCTGCCTCTACCCTATAGCCGTGAAGGAAAAGCCAGAGGAACACATAGGGGCAGCCCCAGAACAATCTCAGGGCTTCTTACTGTGTAAGAAAAATCCATCTCCAAACCATTAGTACATCTGGTTTGTTTGTTTGGCTGGTTGGTTGGTTTTGTTTGTTTGTTTTCAGACGGGGTCTCATTGTGCAGCCTTGGCTAGCTTGAAACTAACTACACAGATCAAGCTGGCCTCAAACTCAGAGAGCCGCTGACCTCTGCCCCTCAAGTGCTGGACTTAAAGCTGTGCACCGCTATGCCCTGCTTCAGTTGTTGTCAGAGGCAGCCTCCCTGTGTAGTCCCAACCAGCTTAGGACTTGCTATATGGACCAGGCTGACTTGAACATTCAGTGACGTTCATGCTTCCTCTTCTTAAGTGCTAGGATTATAGGCGTGTGTCACCATCCTTGGTTGACTATTAGATTTTCATATTGTTAGATTTATCTTTAAACATGGAAACAAATTTTTTTCTAAATAATACACCATGAAAGGCAACATAGCACTGTAGGAGGAGCTAAGGTGGGAGGAGTAAGGAGAGGAAGAGGAGGAGTAAGGAGAGGAGAGAGGAGGGGGGAGAGGGGAGAGAGGGGGGAGGGGGAGGGGGGAGAGGGGAGAGAGGAGAGAGAGAGAGGGGAACATGGAGGCAGATGTTCGCATGTCTGTAGCAGTCAAAGGTAGTTGGTATATCTAGGTTGGGTATTGGGTTACACTTCTGATAGTATGGGCACCTTGTTACTGATCATTACCAAATATATAAGCTTTTGGATAATTTAAGCATTAGAGTCTCATTTTCCTACTGGGCCCATGTGGATGGCAGGATGGTTTGGGCAATGCCCAGCCTTGTGGAGACAACATGAAAGATTGGCAGAACCATCTCCCAAGCTGATGTCTTGTGGGTGGCAGGGCTGGTGTTTCTGGCTAGCCGTTTCTAGTTGGAGTGCATGTGTGGCCTCTGGCCTAGAAACATGGCAGCTGAGCTAGGCAGAGCTGCCACAGCTTAGATAGTCGGTTTGACCAGTGGCCGATTTTAACTATTTAACTCAACATAGAACCTTGTAACATCCAGTATTGTAGGAAATATAGTAGGATCTTTTATTTTTAACAGACAAAATGACAGATATATTTTCAATTAACTTCACCAAATAACACCCAAATGACACAGTTTCTCTTGTTAACTAAGATCAAGTGAGAGAAGATAGGCAGATGAATAGCTGAGGTACAGGTATTGATTAAAAATGCCTCAGAAAATATTCCCCTGTGCATATGAAGAGTAGACAAAAACATGACTTCTGCATGAGAGACAGAAATCAGGATGTCCCCTCAGGACATTGGTTCTCAACCTTCCTAATGCCAAGACTCTTTAATACAGTTCCTCATGTTGTGGTGACACACACACACACCCAAACCATAAATTATTTTCATTTCTGTTTCATAACTGCAACTTTACTAGTGTTATGAATTGTATTACAAATATTTTTGGAGATAGAGGTTTGCCGAAGAAGTCTCGATCCATAGGTTGGGAACCTATAGACATACATATGGGCTAAACCACAGAGAGAACTGGATGCTGTGGACAGGGAACAGGGAACTCTTGGCAGGACTGGATGTAAACAAGCATGAGAAATTCAAGGTCCTACACAGTAAGAAAGCTCACTGGGTTTGTGCTGGGGAGGAACAAAGATCTGATCGGAAAGTTACATCAAATGGCAAGCCTGCAATGACTATTGGGGTTGGGTTTGGGTACCACTGAAGATTGCCGAGGAGTCAGGATCCACTGGGGATGCTCACTTTATAGCAATATGTGGGAGGAATTGAAGGAGGCAGCACAGCTCCCTGTGTAGATGATGAATCCAGGTACTCAAAGGGAGGGCAAGCTGAGTGACATTAGACCTGTCAGGCATGCTGTACTGTTTGGATGTGGGGTGGGGGTCAGGAGGGAAGATGTACATAACATTGTATTGCATAAAATATAAACATAAGCATTATGGTACCTCTGGAGCTGAAGACAGGAATGGTTTTATGTAGATGTTGGAGTCATGAACCTTCAGGTCATGGTCCCCAAGTCCCCTGGTCACTCCAATAGTTGCCATTACCCGGGCCTAGAGTATAAAGAGAAAGTTATCAGAAATACACACAGTGACAGCGTCCTGTCCCAATTCCTCTTGCCTGACTTTCTATGCCATTGGCTGTTAACTGAGATGAGTCGTATTAGTGGAGAAAGACTCATTAGAAACACTGCTGTATCTCAGGCTTACTAGGTATTGCTATCTGTCCTTAGCTTGCTTCTGTAAAGCTGGGAGCGAAGGGTGCTGAAAAGAAACTAACTGTAATGCATGTATTGTCTACAGCAACTGAAATCAGTTCATATTCAACCAAGAGCATCCACTCACCAACCCACCATCCATCCATCCATTTATCTATCCATGTATCAACCTACTCATCCATCCATCTATCCCCTCACCCACCCACAATCCATCCACCCATCTACCCACCCATCCCTCCACCCACCCATCTGCCCATCCATCCATCCACCCATCCATCTATCTACTTACCCACCATCTATCCATCCACCCATCTATCCATCCACCCACCAACCTACCTATCCACTCATCTATCCATCCATCCATCTATCTATTCATCTGTCTGCCCATCCATCCACCCAACCACCTACCCATCCATCCATCTACTCACCCACCATTCATCTTCCATCCATCCACCCATCCAAACACACTCACACTACAAATATTTGCTGGACACTAGCTACGTCCTTGGCAATATCAGAAGCACTAATGAAACGTGTAGTAAGTCTGAGGCAGTTCCTGTCTTTGCAGAGCTCTACTGCTAAGTTTTATGACTAGAATAAATAAATCTTTAGCTTCTCCATGATTTGTCTCAATATTCCTACAAGTTCCTTCTGGTGGAAAGGAACAAAACGTCACTAATGCATGTATGCACAGACTTCCGGTTGTAGTCTCACATTCTCTGTAAACTCGTTTTGTGGATTTAACATACTGCATTAATATCTACACAGGCAGCTCTCCTAAAGAACCTAGTAGGTGCACACACCATGTGGGAAGGACACCAAAGTCCAAGGCTCCATCTCTACTATAAAGGAACCTGGTCGAGGGGTAAGAGACGTATACCTAATATATGAAATGGGCTTCAGTTCTGGAATGCTCATCAACAATGGAATATATGAATTTAGAGGAAACAAAAATTCTACCGAGAAGGTCCCACGGAGGAGGCAACGCTAAATTTGGTCCCAAAAGATGGACAGTATCAGATAGGCAGACACAGAGGGGTAGACTACCTGTCAGGCTGAGTGACTCAACGCCTAATGACCGAACATTGGGTCACCAATAATACTGTCCATGTAATGCCGCAGTTCAAAAAGAAGTAATTTCAGGCAGGAACCTAAATATTAGGCTAGGACAGGGAAGTAGGCTCAGATACTTTGGTCATCCTGATAAGCCCTTAGAAACAGTGATCACGGGAGTGTTTAATACCTTGCTTTATCTTTAACTATTTGTGTTTATGGTCTTGCTTGTTCCTTGACTATTTGCATCTATTGTATTGCTAGGCCCTCAACCTAGAACTGACCTTAATACATGCATGTAATCAAAATGGTATAAAAGCATAAAGGAGGAGGGGGTGGGTGGGATAGGGAGCTCTAGGGAGGAGAAATGGGGAAAGGGGATGATATCAGTATTATAATAAAATATCCAATAAAAAAAAATAAAAAATTAAAAAAAAGAAAAGGTAGGACATTGTTACTATGTAAAATAAACAAGTGACACATACACTACCTGAAAAAAAAATGTTGTAGTTCAAATACCTGAGCCTGGATTTTTCTCTGTTACTTGGATAATAACATTAAATGCTCCATAGAGGCAAGGATGGGGTAAATAAAAGAAGATACACTACAGTTCAGGGCAGGTGAGGAGGTACCTGCCATCAAGTCTCACAATCTGAATTTGATCCCTGGAACCCACCCAATGGAGGAAAAGAACGGACTCCTGCAAGTTGACATGTGTTGCAGCTCATAATTAAGTAAGTGTAAAAAAAAGAAAAGAAACTCCATGTTGTAATTCAACAACATATCTTCATCCTCGTGTCTCTGAAGTCCTGTGGATTTGAAGGAGACAGCAGGCAGACAGGGTCTGTACTGTAGAAATGAAACCAAGATGCTTTTAGGGACCAAGCTTGAAACAGGATTTCATACTGAGGCTCCAGTTGGTCCTCAACTCACAGAAATCCTCCTGCTTCAGTCTTTTGAAGGCTGTGTGATTACAGATTTGAGCCACCATGCTTGTGTGTGTGTGTGTGTATGCGTGTGTGCGCGCGCATGTGTATCACAAGAATGTAATATGTAATGGAGGTCAGAAGACAACCTGCATGATTCAGTTCTTTCCATGTGAGTTGCAGGGATCAAACCCAGGTTATCAGGCTTGGTGGCAAGTGTCTTCACCCACTGAGCCACAGGGGAGGAATAGAGTAATGGACATCATCTTTCATTGTATACATGTATGAAGTTCTTAAAAAGAAAAAAATATTTAAAAAATAACAGCAACAACAACAAACATCTCACTGCTGATAACCTTCTAAAAAAAGACAGCAGTCCATTCTCCTGTCCAGGAGAGTATATTAAACACAGGTAAACAGGGTGCTTAGGACTGGGCCACGTGTCAGGGACTGGGGGACGCTAGAGAGCTTGCTTTGTTTTTCTTGTGAGTCATTTCTTCTTGCTAAATATTAATCTGACACTGATAAAGGATTCACTTGAAGAATCTCTTCAATGTGGACACACTGTCCTCTTCTAACTGAAACTCTTAGCTCCGAATTTAAGTAAGTGGTGTTCAGAGGAAGCCTGCAGAGAGGGATTCAGGAGGCCGCTTGTTAAATTGGGTATGGGCTCCAAGTTTTGTCATCTCTGTGCTAGCCTCACAAGCTCCTCCAAATGTGCTCAAGGCTCTCGTACCTACAGTCTTCTTTGAGGTCGACTATATTATTCAGCCTTTACTTCTGACTAGAGCACTGGGACCCAGTGATGGTCCTGCTCTCTCAGTCTGGGCTCTTGATCCTGTAGTATAATTGCAATGACACTCTGTCGTCCCTTTGTTGGAACAAGTAGGAAAGCTGATTTACAAAGTCTGAACTTCAGTGGCAGAAAAAGAACCCTAGGCAAGTGCCCCACATTGGTGTTGTCCTCTGCTAGGCCCAGGCTTCTGCCTGGGTTGCTTTCGTCTTGAAGTCTCAGCTGACTCGTCTTCCAAATGGAGGTACACAGCCAGCTTGACCTGCCTCTGAGCTTGTTGTCAGTTGTAAAACAGAAGGATAAATGTGGAAGTGAGCTAAAGAGGGACTCAAATGGACAGAGACCAAGGTGGTATTTTCATAAAACTGACTTTCATCTTCTGTGTTCACCTACACCCCTCAAATCCTGCCACTCTCTGGCCCCTCAAGGCAGGTGACCTGAAGAATGATGGAAATGATGTTTGTTCAAGTTGTCAAGGCTATAAAACCCCAAACCACCGAGTAAAGCATACAGATTGCCACAGGCTATGCAAAGCCAAAGGCCCCAGACACCTCCTCTCATTCCAGCAGTGAATGTGAGCCTACCTTCTTGCCTTCTCCATATATGAGGGGAAACTTCAAGTCATCATCTTCAATGGTTTTGTATGCCCTGTAGGGGAGTAAACAATATTTGAAAACAGGTTTGCACTCAATTAGTGACCCTCTGCCCTGGCACGAGCTGCTAGGAGACTTAGTTTCCTGGAGATTCCAGCCATTCACCACGTTGCCTCTTTGTTTATAGTCACTGTCTGTTCTCCATGCGAAACTGTGTGTGTGTGTTTGTGTGTGTGTGTGTGTGTTTGTGTGTTCACTTTGACAAGCCAGGAAATGTCGTCTTTATATTCTTAGAGGCAAAGCTACATATAATTATATGTAATATTGTAAAGGGAGATGGTATTCCATTCCACCTCCTTTGGCCTTTGCAATAACGGAAGTGATCCAGCCGCTGGGCTCTTCTTGTGTCTGCAACTGTAATAAACAACAGTGCTTAGGGGTGAATGGACCCTGCAACTCCTCCAAGAGACAATTCACACCTTCAGGGCCATTTACACCAAACATCTTCTGTTGGGATGACTAGGGACAGAGGACACAAGCACCCTGCGACCTCAGGATGAGAGTCAAGGTTGGCAGAAAATTGTTTTGAAATAGCTTTCTGACGGCCATTCGCCGCACAGAAATCTACTTTACGCTTTGTGGGTTTATGTAGGACACGGTTGTCTAGACGTCACTGCCAGTGAGACCATGTGTTCCAAATCTACGCATAAGCGAGTTAAAAAAAAAAAAAACAAGCAGGCAAACATCATAGCCAGTTAGTAGCCACATCCTTGGCCAGAGCAATCTACCTTTCTGTTTTTATTTCATCTCTAAAGCGAGATTTGTACACAAGATACAAAGGGTTCAGCACAGAGCCTCCGCTCATTAACGACCCAATTAGGGGCAGCTGTTAGTCGTATTTCGCAGGTAGTTAATTTTTGGTGCAACACTTCCCCATTTGGTAAAATGGGGGGGGGATATCACTACTTATTCACCACCCTAGAATGGATGTGTGCTGGGGGCTTCAGAACTTCATTAATCAAATAAGGTCAAAAAGTTATGAGGAAGAAAAGGTCCAGACTGGGTAGGATAGGTATAGAATGCACAGAGAAAATCCATGTACTAAATGGCTTCTGAGACCATTAGGCAGCGAGAGAGTGAAGGTGAAATCATATGGACTCTCCTGATATATGTAAGAATGCAACCCAAATTAAAAAGCACTGAGAACAAACCATGATGACATATGTGATAAAGGCACCACGCAGGAACTCATATACTGCATGCTAACCTGAAAATGAAGTGTTTTTATAAGCACACACCTTCCAGGTGAGAGCAAGTATGCTCTGTTGTCCAGGAAACCATTTGTACACGCCAATTTTTCCCTGATTTGCCATCAAATCCACCCAGGTTCAAATTCAGCACAGAGTAACTGGATGTATTCTGTGGACCTCAGTATTCTCATTAATCACAAGGCCAGTCGATAGTAATGTACAGCGCTCAGTATACACTCTGCACAGCTATGCTCAGAGCTCAGGGAGGCTCGTCCTCCGAGTGGGAACCCAGAGCAACCCAGAAATCGAATTTTCAAGAAAGTAAGCATAGTATTTCATTCCCTTAAACCAATCAAATTAACACAAAGTGGAAATTAGCTCCTTTGATGTTTAACATTCTCACACGAACTATTTTAAACACTGTGGCCCATAAGCCGCTTGGGTGACCAAATAAAGCTATTATTAGAATCTAGCACCAGCTTAGGGATCAACTGTGTCGAGTGGTTCTCAACCTCAGCTATGTAATGAACTATATAATGCAAAGTCTTTAAGACATTCTGAGGCCCAGGCCACATCCCGGAGCAATGAAAGCAGAGTCTCTGGAAAAGAGACCTGAGCACCAGGTGTTTTGCTTTTAAAGCTTGACACATGTGACTCTGTTGTAGACGAAGCACAAATGAGCGTACACTGGATGTGAATTAAGCTATAAGGTTCTCGTTGGTTTGACCCTTGAGGGGAGACCTCATGGACTCAAGGAGGAGGGAGGAAATGGTCTGAGAAAGGCTCTCACAGGAGCATGAACAGGCATTCAAGATGCTGCGTGGGTGAGGAGACAGTCTTGGATAAGGAGGCGATGAGGTAACAGTCATACCCTGGGAATGGCCAGCCTTGAGATGCCAGCACAGGATGTTGGAGCTAGAGAGGAGGCAGAAGGCAGCAGATCTAGACTCAAGGACAAGAAGGTCTTCCCTAGAGGTTGGCTAGGAGACACGACTGGCTTGGGAAGGCAGAGAGAAGACTGTTCTCACTGAACCATCAGGATCAAGCTCTCAAATCCTCTCAGGGGAGAGGCCACCGGGACCACAAAATCATTGTCACACGGCTCAGAAAGACAGACACACTGCAGGGAGTTAGTACTCCCGGAACAGGGCAACTTCAAATTTTCATGTTACATTTTAGCTTATTAATTTAGCCTTAGAACAAAAGTTAAAACAGAAACAAAGATTAGGGAATGTAGTTCAATGGGCAGAGGGCGTGAATGAGACCCAAAGTTCAGTTGGAACGCCAGCAGCTGAGAGGTAGGAGCGATGGGATCTTAAGTTCAAAGGGATAGTAAGGTCAACCTTGGATACAATGTATTCTCAGCCAGCCTGGGCTACAAGAGACTCTATTACGAAATGAATAAATACAGAAAGGATGACCTTGGGAGAAGAAAGAGTTACTCTGTTCCCACTGGTGTTGGTTTTCAATACGACACAAACCCTTCCTCCTCCTCCAGCGACAAACAAGGATAATCATTGTGCTAAGAGAACATACAACAACACGCCGTCCCACTCATTCTTCCTGGGTACCAAGCAGAGTTCATTATGTAAGTGGACTTCCATGTACCGATAGAACGTCTTAAATAATACCAGAAACGCTTGGGACTAGAGGTGCTGCTTACTGGGAAAGCTCACACTCAGCATGAGTGATACCTGGGCTTGATTCTAAGTAGCAAACACCAAACAACAAATAAAAAAATCCTCACTCATTGGGAGCTATATAGACTTGAGGCTAAGAATAATCCCAGCAGATAATTTACTGAGGCCGACGATACTAGACTTGGTAGTTATGTATGCTTTATAAAAATCTTTTGGAGACCCCATCTTACAAATGGAGAAACAGGGTGAGGGAGATTTACTTTCCCAAGGTCAGACATCAAATGAATGGCCCTATACTGAAAAACACTGCAAAGGAAGTATACCATCCACATTAACCTATGGGGATGTCTCCCTCTGGCAATGAGCCCGAAATGAGGCCACTCTGAGTAGGTAGTCAGCAAATGTTTGATAAGGGGAAGAGAACTTTTGGCAAGTGAGACCAGAATGCATTCTGAATGGCAAGAGGAGAAATACATCGCCTGGCAGCCAATGAGATCTGTAGGGAGAAGGAGGGTAAATGCTGGAAGTTACCGTTTGGGTTGCACACTTGTGTCTGCTTCATCTGTGGCCACAAAAGGTAGCTTATCCCTATCTTTCAGAGGACAGTTATCCCTCAACCCTGCTGGGTAGTTAAAGGCCTCATCCTGGTCCCTCCCACTTGTAAGGCCCTGACGGGTGGTACCCTGCATCACCTTCATTCAGACTAAAACATTCATGCTTCCAGCTTGTCCAGGCTCCTTTCTTCCTCGCCTCCTGGCAGGGGGGCGGGAGGATACAGAATTTGAGAGAACCAAGACATCGAGGTTGTTTGGATTTGATGTTATAACCAAGAATGTATGGTCACGTATATGTGAAAAAAAAATATATGGAATCCTTTATTTCAGATTTTAAGATTTGGAAAATGGTTTAAATAAATTTAAAAAGTTCCAATATCAGATCACTCCCTGGTTTTATAATAACATAACTGAGCAGGAATATAGTCAAGCAATCACTTGTTCTAAGACGGCAGAGCTAAAGAGCTTATGAAATACTTGTAGGTCACTCTTACATTGGCTCAACGCCTTTATGAATATTTATGAGATGAGGGATGAATGCAAGGCTTACAAGGGGCTACTACATTCTTGGCTTTCCCTACCTTAAAGGCATTACGGTCAGATGAGTTTAAGCAACAGTTTCAGGCCAGGCATGGTGGCAAACACCTTTAATCCAGCAATCTGGCAGACAGATCTCTGTCAATTCAAGGCCAGCCTGGTCTACATATTGAGTTTCAGGACAGCTAGAGCTACATAGAGAAACCCTGGCTCAAAAAAAAAAAAATTTTTTTTTTCAAACCAAACAACCAACCTTCCCTGTCTGCGGGCTCTGAAGACATCTGGACGGGCTGTCTTGGTTTCTCATCCCCTAGTTCTTTCAACGATGTGTCACAGGACCTTGGGGACTGTCTGTCCCACTCACACCACGAATTTGTTAATCAAACATCACAGACTGTGACAAGGGCCCTCTGTGGGCTTTCTGGTCTGTCAGTGTCCTGAAAGTTTGGCACTTATCTTAGGCGAAAGCTCTTGAGATGCGGTCTAATTAAAAATGAAATTATCCCTTTGATTTGGACCTTGTTCTTAAGAGATCAATGAAACTGATAATTGCTCTGTGTGCCTGCCTGCGAGAGAGCTTTATGGTCACAGATTGAGACTGTGAATGAAAACAAGCACCACCTCCCCCACCTCCTGGCCCACAAGCAAACAACACAGGCCCCACACAGAAAAGGGTTTCTTGCCACACTCTCCTCTGCTTCCTTAGGGCAATGCCTGGTTTACTATGAACGAAGGATTCCATTGTCCTTGTTAACCTTACCTTGCTAATTCCAGTCTCCTGTCCTAAACCAGTCAGAGATTTAATTTTGTTTTCATATAGGGTCTCACTATGTAGTCCTGGTTGTCCTAGAATTTGCTATGCAGATGAGGCTGGCCTTTAACTTACAGAGATCCACCTGCCTTTGAAACTTTAATCTTTTCAAATCCTATTTTTAATGATGGTTCTTAAATGCTTTAACCTCCCTTGTAGCCCGCCACCCACCAGAGGTAGTGGGAAAGAAAGGATTGGTGGGGCGGTGGACCTGTTTAGAAAGGTTCTTTGGAGCAACTCCCGTCTGTGTTGTCTGGAAATCA